TGGTGAAGGAAAAGGTGGACCTGACTGATACCCTTGAAGAAAGGCGGAATTTGATGATTGGGTTACCGTCACAAACAAAGGCAAGTATCAAGGAGAAGTTTATCTTGAAATGACTTTCTATTCCGCGGTAAGCATACATCCCTTTGAAATCCCTGATCGAATCGTGTCACTGATCTTACGAGTTACTCACTCACTCACTTTCTTTGTCTATGGACATGAAACCTGATGCAGAAACCTCCACCTGAAAAACTTCACACCCCAGCCGGACCAACGAGAGCTGGTGTTTTTGAGGCTTCTTCTCCGGGATCTGGCCTACGTCCCACCCAGGCCCAAGCAGTCGCATCAAGCAGCCCATTAAATCGCAAAAATACGCCATCGCCTTTGGGTACACCTGTCAAGAAAATCAATCCCGCCTCCGTTCCCGTCGCCCTGCGGGTTGGGAGGCCGATGTCAGGTCCAATCTCCAGTGGCCATCTTCCATTACCTGGAGAGCCTTCTACTTCTAGAGATGCTAGTCTCAACTCACGCCAACGTTCCACTGGCTCACTCAGTATGCCAACTCCAGACTTTGGTTTGGCGGACCGCTCGCCGTCGCGCTCGCCGTCGCGTAACCAATCACTTGATCGAGCCGATCACCTCGTCAATTCTTTAAATTCTTTATCGCTCTCTGGCCGGACATCGGCCAATAATCATATTCATTTGCCTCAGCCTACGCCATCTGAGCTGCAGGTTAATCAGCACCCTTCACAACCGCGCCAACATCGTCACAGTTTCTCAGGTCATTCTCATCTCCAACCCAGTGACCGGACTCATCAAACCCACTCAGCTAGCTCCTCAGTACACGCTACTGATCATCCAGAAGATCGCTTTCAGGACCATCCAGCTCCCTCATTTGTTCCTCAACCATACCCAGATCATTTCCCATCATCTTCTCAACCGTCGGGGATTCCAAGGCCTGTATTCCCAGCCCGCCGTCCCTTGCCGGTTCCTGGCGGGGACAGTGTTCATCGTCCAACTTCTGCGTGGGGACATTCCCACAGCGTCCCGTCTGAAGGACAATCGTACCCGAACGACAGCATCGTTTCATCACAGCAGCTACCTGGAAACTATGCTCAATATCCTGACAATTTTGAACATCCTCCTAATGGTGCGTCAGATCGGCTTCCATCGGCGAATCATCTTTTATGAGGCCTACTGACCATCTGCTTAATTCACAGGAATCCCCAATGTTGGTACTGCGTATCCACCTTCAACCCAATATGCTGAGGGTGCCAACCTTCAGCATGGAGTACATCAGCAAAACATGGCTAATCGCCCTCAGCATCTACCGTACTCCGAGCAACCTAGCCATTACTCACCTTCGCCTTCTCAAAACCCACCTTTCTCACAAACACATCACTCTGGCCATGCACCTTACAACCTTCCACCGCCACCACCTGGTCAAACACCAGTCCCGATCCATGAGGTCTTTGGAGGAGGCGCAAACGGTAGAACGTTTCCGCCGATCCCGCCAAACGGATATCAACCCCCAGCTGGCTTCTCAACCCAACAACCTCAAGCAGTGCAAGTCATCCAATCCCCTACACGCGCAAACTCGAGTGGAGAAAATGTTTACTCTTATCCACCCACCCATCATCAAGAGCAAGTCCATCAACACAATCAGTCATACAATCCCCCACTCGAAAACCCAGCTCCGAATAATAACTCTTACCAATTACAAAACGCCCCACCCCCGCCGCCGCCACATCTTCAGCCAATGCAGTATCAACCGTTCCATCTCCAACAAGCCCCTGCCAGTATGCCCCCACCTGGTCCACCATCCCAAATGTACTATCAACCAGCTTATGCTCCGCCACCTCCAACCACGCCTGCGCCTGGATTCGCCTCTTCCCATCCTCAACAATATCCAGAGTACAACAACCCGTTCCATAATCCACCCCGGCCTTCCTCTGTCGTACCTGGTAATGTTTATGTTCGCCCATCTCCTACCCCCGCACCACCACCACTACCTCCTCCTCCTCATGGACAACCTCCGGCGCACCCTCATCCTCATCCAGCGTCTCAGTCATTTGCTCCTTTTTACCCACCCAACGGATATCAACCTTATCCTTCCCATCAATCTTGATATATGAAACATTCAACTTTGTTCATGTAATGTCTGTTCTCCAACATAGAACCCGTTTCTTATCAGTTGTGCCACTGTTCCTTTTTTTAATTTATACAAATCAATCACAATACAAACATTTTATGTCATACTGAGCTAGAGATTTTTTCCGTCTGCGTGACACATCAGCAAGAACAAAAATGAAGGTTTCATCGTCAAGGTGTCTTGTCACTGATACTCTAGGAGACACTTGCTCAACTGGTGCAGTTGACATCTGGTTACATGAGACACATTCTCCTGTGTATGTACCATATGTGAATCATCTCCTCCCTTTGCTTGCGGTGCTGCAGTGAGTGTGGGCACACCTGTTCCATAGGATGCTATTGATACAGTGCTCGAGCACAAGTTTGCTTGTACAAGGAACACGGACTTGAGCTTGGTAATTCTCAAATAGGTTTGCAAATGTGGTATTTTTTGAGCTATGCCACACGCCAAACATTGAAAACTTGCTATTATTGCTATTGTTGCGGTTTCCATCAAAATTGAAAACCAGTCATCAATCAGAGTATGAACATTGAAATAAATTACAAGTTGCCATGATATTCTCCTCGGTTGGTCAGATCTTACAGGGATGAAGGAACTAACGGTTTCGAAGCGGCCATTGTTCTTCGAATCAAACACGAGAACGCAAAGGGATACAGAAATCAATGTTAGCCACGTATCTGTCCTGATTTTTGTAAGCTCCAAATATAAGTAAAAAAACAGGTCATTCAGATGGCAAGAAACTTGTAGAAGATCGAAGACAAAGGTGTCTCTTTCTTCTTAATCTTGGTTAATAGTTGAACTGTTTGTTAGACAATCAACCTCTTCCAGTGGCCACAGCATATCATTAAGTGAGTATCCCAAATTTGTAAATTCTCAGCATGCGATCACAGCGAAACAAAAACTAGAGGGGGATGATCGAGTTCGACCATCGATTGATTAGGTTGTCATCTGGCCTATTTCAGGGCCCGCGAGAATGCTTCTCCTCTAGTTATCTTTCTCATCCAGACCGATTCAAAGTCAAGGTGAGATAAACCGGAGATAAGAAGACTTCAAGGGCCCATTCCTGCCGGTATGATGTAACCTAATCTCATCCAACCGAACCGATCAATCCCTCTTGAATTGTTTGCCGAGAATTTCTCTTATGGGATGATAAGCGGGTGTATTGGGAAGACCGTAAATAGTTTGGCGTGACCCATAGATAAAAATGAAACTGTTTGATGCTACGATAAAAAATTCTTACCTTGAAAGATGATCAATACATGAATGACTTTTTTTGTTTTGAAAAATCGACCCGTCTGATTTTCATTTTTTTGGGGTAGTCCGACGAAGTAACTTGTCTAAAAAAACGCGCTTTGAAAGTAGATGGGGCCGAGAGACTCTTGATTAAAGACCAACGATCCGATTGATTTGTTGATCGAAGGTTTTGCTCTTGATCGTGGGAGTGATCGCATTGGGATTAGGGTTGTCGATTGGGATTTGATGAAATGGATTACAGATATGTTGGATGTACGCGGCATGTAAAGATTTGAAGAGCTTTATTGGTGTATTTGCATGGGTGATAGTGAGTGGTTCTGGTGCTATATTCTTCACCTTTTTTTATGAAAGGTCGCGAGGCGAGAACTTACCAGTTTGACTTCAGTATCTTTGATCAAGGTGTCTTTCATCGGTAAACACAAAACGAATCTGATTCTGGTATTTGATTGATAACCATAGCATGCGTAATCTTCCATCGCATACAATAAGCCAAAATAACAGTCCACCAACGTTGTGGGGAGTGCATCTATTGTGTCGGATCCCGCAGAAAATTAAGCTGGTATATATGGAGATGGTGCGAATGTTCCAATTCCTTTTCTCTTCTGAGACTCACCTCGTTCGTCGAATACGTCCAAGCTCACATGAGCCGCATAGTGCCACTTGAGATCAGCTTCGCCACCAGACGGTGAAGCGAAGTTTCGTACGTATAACGGCTGGCCTTTCTTCCCGATTATAGCGAGGGCGAGAATTGGAAGTCGACCGGTATTGCTGGACATATTACTTGATGGGGATTGTAGGGTGGCCTTCAGTGGACAGTGACACTGGCTGCGAAGGGTGGCGGTGGAAATTAATCGAGGGAAGCACAGCACTCGGTCGCGGGTAATCAGGAGTATCCGGGGATCTCGGGGTTGGGGATTTAGAGAGTGAGGTCGATAGGGGGTAAGATGAGCTCATCTGCCAGACTACCACATCAAACCACCAACAAACGATGACATCCCATCCAATCACTCGATTCATTCCTCAATCGTAAGTCCAGCAAAATTGAAAATATCACCACGTGTAGAGCCAACCGACTGACAATGATGATTGGATGCATGTACATAACGATCCAGAACTTGGCATTTGGTCGAGCCTCACTTCACATCGTTTGGGAAAGAGAAGTTGGAAAAAGTAATCGAGTTTGTGGAGGTACGTATGTATGCAACCTAATTATCCAGAGAGATGCTCAGGTCTGCTTCTCACCATCGGCTAACCCAGCTTCGATTGGTTTCAATTTCTTACTCGTCAGAATGAATGCATCCCAGCAGAATCAATCTATCACGCTCAAATCTCATCCGATCCTCAAAGAAGATGGTCAACTGTGCCCACGATAATGGAAGACCTAAAATCCAAAGCACGCTCCCGAGGGCTCTGGAATCTATTCCTCTCTAAGGCGCACTAGTGAGTATCTAGTTTTTAATTTAATCCAAACGAGCCCTAACTGGATGAAATATTCAGTCCTGAGTTAGGTGTGCCCTTGACCAACTTGGAGTATGCGGTGATGGCCGAAGTGATGGGACATGCCATTCGGATTGCTCCCGAATCAATGAATTGCTCTGCTCCCGACACCGGTTAGTCATCAATACCATCTCACAGCCTGTCTCGCTTAGTCTGATCCCACTCCACACTACTTGATCAATCCTGACAGGGAATATGGAAGTCCTGGCGCGCTATGGGACTCCGTACCAAAAAGAGAAATGGCTCAAGCCGCTTATGAATGGCCAAACTCGTAGTTCTTTTGCAATGGCGAGTCTCTTCTTCAACATTGCCCCAAGATTCAGTACTGAAGAGTAAGGGGATCTAACACGCCACAATTGTCCAGACTGAACCTGCAGTGGCATCTTCTGATGCGACCAACATCCAAACCAGTATAATGTATGATAAAAAAACGTGAGAAAATCCTTATCCTTTTTTGAGCATGCATTGTATTAAGTGATCTTTCTAATGACCTATAACTCATTAATAGCCAGCAGATTGTCATCAACGGTCGTAAATGGTGGATCTCCGGTGCTGGTGACCCGCGTAACGCTATTCATTTGGTCATGGGCAAGTCAGATACTTCTGCCCCCAAGCATTCCCAGCAGTCGATTGTCATCGTGCCTCCCAACACTCCTGGCGTCAAACTGATCCGCCCAATGCAGGTGTTTGGTTACGACGAGTTTAGTCAAAGTTCTCTGCAAATCGGCCCTTTCAGTAAAAGGTTGAATTTTTGATTTGGTCTTTGTTGACAGTGCACCGGAGGGACATTTCGAGGTGTTGTACGAAGATGTTCGAGTACCAATTGAAAACTTGGTGTATGATTGGGGAAAAGGATTCGAAATAGTCCAATCCCGACTTGGACCAGGTAGGATTCATCATTGGTAAATAATTTGCTAAAAGTTTTTTATTCTTCTTTATGAAAACTACGATCTAACAGTCGACGATTGTACAGTATGCGATCAATCGGGATTGCGGAACGCGCGATATCTTTAATGTTGCTCCGAGTAACGGACCCGCGCAAGATGACCTTTGGGAAACAACTTTACCAGCACGGCGCGACGGCAAAAGAAATTGCCTATTCGCGTATCGAGTTGGACGGAATCCGACTGTTAGTGTATTCAGCTGCCCATCAAATCGACTTGGTAAAAGCCAAAGGAGCGATGAAGTCCATAGGAATGGCGAAGGCGCAAGTGCCTAAAGTTGTCAATGCTATCATTGATCGAGCGATTCAAGTACATGGTGGTGAAGGGGTGAGTCAAGATCAACCCTTGGCCGCGATGTTTGCTGCTGTGAGGACATTAAGAATGGCCGATGTGAGTGCACCTTACAAATCTCAAAGGACAAGAATGTCGAAAGGGAGTCGAGATTTACGACTTGCTTGTGAGATGTAGGGTCCCGATGAAGTTCATGAGGCCCAGGTGGCTCAAATGGAATTGAAGCGCGTTCCGCTACTGAGGCAACAACTGGAAGCCAAAACCGAAGCTGAGAAGGCCTTGCGCGTTCAATATCAGATCGGGGGATCCAAGTTGTGATTCCTCATCAATTGTCCTTTTACATCAACTCGTTTACATATCTACTCCCTGGACAATTCTTTGAATGACTGGAGGTATTCTCGAAGCAAATCTCTTTTTCTAATTTATGATTTTGTAATTGTCCGAATCTTGTGTCATGATGAATTCTTGTAGCCAGCCCTCAATAAGTGTATATATGTATAAGCAGAACCTCCCGTTTCATTCACTAGTTACGTGATTTCAGGCAAGCTAAATTTCAATTTATGATTTGGCTCCATGTTTTCAAGATGACATGAGGAATCATTGCGATTTCTTGCCGTATGTGCCCCTTGAACCACGCTAGAGGGTGTTTTTTCACTATATTACCCACAGAGCGAAGAGTCGAAGACGATTGGGGGCGCTCAACTTTATGAGCAGCAAAGTAAGAGATGCTGGGCTTACCCTGCCTTTGACCGTGTGTGCTTGAAGAGATGTGACTGGGTATGGAAAGAGAGGATCAGCAGATCCTACGTAGGAGATCATGGGGGAAATTTCAGACAATGTGAATGCTGAATCGCAATCGGAAAAATCCCGCAAGGCCATTTCTCT